TACCTTATCGACACCCTGGTTACAAGCATACACTAGAGCATCTGCAAGTGTTAGACGACCTTCAGCATCTGTGTTGTTGACCTGCACACACCGACACCATTGCCAACAATTAGCATGGCATAGGAAAAACATCAAAAGCTCAAAACTTTAGAAAAAAAAATGCCCTGATACCTCAATGGTCTTTCCGTTGGAGGCTGTGATAACATCTCCAGGTCTCATTCCGGTTCCACTAATCATATTCTCACAGGCTGCAACAATGAAATGTACCTGATTGTGGAAGACCAATTGGTTAGCTACACTAAGAAAATCTATCTTCAAAGAATCTGATAGGAGAAACTAACCTCAACACCAGGAGGCTTAATTTCACCAATGGCTTTCGCAGCGCCAAGAACAGCAGCTGAACCGCCCATGTCGAATTTCATGAGCTCAATTGAGCAGCCAGGTCCAGTCTTAATGTTGTAGCCACCACTGTGAGCACAAGACATTCGATCAAAAACAAATGAAATAACAAGAGAAGGGATCACCAATATGTGACAGCTTAAACTCCAACGCAATACAGAAGAGGAATGATTACCTGTCAAAGGTCAATCCTTTTCCAACAAGAGCAAGTTTGGTCTTAACAGAGCCACTGGAAGGTTTATAGACAAGGTGGATGAAATGAGGGGGATTAGCTGACGCTGCAGCAACGGCTAGATAAGAGCCCATCTTCAATTCTTTGCATTGCTCTTCGTTCAAGATGTTTGCAGTGAAGACATCACTGTACGTAGAAGCCAGTTTTGCTGCTTCCTCAGCTAGTACAGCTGAAAATATACAAAACCATAGCAGATCAGGACAACTCCAGGACTCAAACTAGCCAAACATGACAATGTTAAGCCCATGAATGTTCCGGGAAACGATCCGTACCAGGAGTGAGCACATTGGCAGGAGAATTAGTGAGTTCTCTTCCGAAAATGACTCCGTAAGAAACATTTTCAGCATACTTGAGCTTCTTTTCTACTTCAGGTCCAGTACCAAATCCAATGATATCCACAGATTTCAAAGATGGTTTCTTCGATTCAGACTTATACCTACCATCTTCGAACAATCCAAGTACTATGCCTATCCACAAGTAAACAAATATACCCCAAATCAGTTCCAAAGACTCCAACTTTTGTTATACTGATTGAAGAATATGAAGAGTTACCTGAAGCTATAGCTGATGCAGAACTAAGCTTGGATTCATCAGGAACACTTTCAGGTGAAGCAAGCACAATAGCAGCTGTGGTAGATTGAGAAGTTTTTGTAGCTGCAGCTACAGCTTCACCAAGGCTCAGAAAAGCAGCCGGAGAAGAAACGGATTGTCCGAGACCGATCAAACCGACCCGTTTCGACACTAAACCCGGAAGCCTAAGAACAGTTGATTGACCAGGTTTACCGGTGAAATCCTCTTCCGATGAAACTTCAGTTAAAAGTCCACTTAGGTGAGCATCGAGCTTGTTCAGGATCGGATTCGTGAACTTTGAGCTGTCGTCTTTGGCCAAGTCTTTCTCCGTCACACCAACCAAGAGTATGTCTCCTTTCCATTCCGTTACACCGATCTCCTTCGCAGCGAACGAGATCTGCTCCGAACATCGAG